CGGCTCGCCTAGGCCTGGGGGCTGGCTGGGTGGGCCACTCAGGGTGTGCAGACATGCCTCACTCAGCTCGTGCGCCTTGGGGTGGCCCCCGGCGCTGGAGGGTGACTGGAGTGAACAGGCGGGTCGGTGGTACTCGCCCTCGGTGCCCAGTGCTGCGGACGCCGGGTACGATGGCTGCTGGCTGGCATTATAAGCGAACCCGTTGGCAGCCTGGTAGGGGTAGCCACCGTAGATCGCGGAGCTGTCGTAGTAGGTCGCTTTTTGCATCGCGTTGTTTCACGATCTTGATCACACACTCTGACAGGGGCTTGACACCCGTGAGGGCGCACATTGGCACGCCCCCGCGGTCACGTGACGCTCCGCCGCCAATGGCCGCCCAGCGCAGACCTGGGGGGGGTGAAAATCGCCGCGCGGTGAGGGCTCCGCACAAATCCATCTTACTCTCAATAGCTAAGTGACATGAAAGCCATAAAAGAAAAAGTGGTCAGCAATATTTAGCAGCACGACTTGGCCCCGGGCGCAGAGAGCCGCGCTATAAAAAGCCGCTGGAATTTACTGGCGGCTACAAATATTTGCTTAACTTGCGTCTGGAGTTGGGGGGTTTTCCGGGGAGAGAGGAGGCGAGGGAGTGAGGGCTGGAAGTCGGGTCTCGGGAGCTGGAGTCCAAAAGAAGAAAGGTCTGATGGGCTAGAAAGGAACAGGGCTGGCATCCTTCTTTTCCAGGGAAGAAGAAACTCGGGGTGCCCCTTCCTCTCTGCTCCTTGGCCTTGTCCGGCAGGTCCCGGGGCTCCTTCCCTCTGGGAATTTTGGAGAGGGGTCCAGGAGGCAAAGAGGGGCTTGAGACGCCACTTTTTCCTCTCCAATCCTCGCTCTAGGGCTTTTATTTGCCAAAAGAGCACTGGCAGGGGGCGATGTCTCATCCGGCCCCTTCTTGGACATTCCGGAACCAGAGAGGTATGCGCAAAAAAATGTCAGGTAATTGCCCTACTGGACCCTACTGGATTTCGAGATTATTAGGCAGTTAGTCTACCCCTGTGCAGGGATATGACCCGCCTCCAAATGAGCCCCATGTGGCTAAGAAGGGGAGAGAGAAACTTTAGATGGACCATCCTGAGTGAGGAGGGACCACCACCAACACCCACTCCAGCAAGTCACATTCAAATCCTGGACAGCTTTTCACTCCTCTCCTTCTGCCATTCCTCAGGCATGTCCCAGCAAGCCACTCCCACCTCTTCTCCACGGCTACAAAAGGTCCCCAGACCCTCCTGTCTTGGACTTTCTGAGGTGCTGTTATTCAGGGCAACTATCAAATTCTACCTGTTAAAACATGATGGATTAGAGAAAAAAAAAAACCCACCAGGAACCTGAAAAACCAGCGTTCATCTCCATGACCACGGCTTGAACTCTCCTTCCAACTTAACGATAATAGGTTCTGTCTTAGAAACTGCTATGTAATTTGATGTATGGGGGTCATTTGGCTCCGGACGAGGGATGGAGGCACAAACCATAAAATCCTGCCAGAGTTCCCTGATCTTTGTGTGCTGTTGTTGTTGATATTTGTTACTGGGCCTATTTACCTGCTTCAGAAACACCAAACACCAAGTAAAGGGCAACCCTGGAAATCTAAAATAAGCAATGGAAAGCCTTCTCAACTCAACTTATTATTATTTTTTTTTTAAAGAAAGCAGTTTGCAGAAGTGAAATCTGTTTCCCTTTTTTTCAGCCTTTGCATGGTCAACCTCTGGTTCTGCTCAGAAAAGTTCCATGTGAGTTCATATATTCACACTCAGACTCTGACCATTTGAGAAAATTACAAGGACAAATTCACGAAAATGGTTTACACTTCATACCGCAACTCTGTGTATTTCAGTCCTGGAGTTATTCAAGTTTTCCAGGAATAGCGGACACTTTGTTAACTAGAAAAAAAAAATAATGTAATAAGCGTCTACCAGTGGATGATTACACTGTAATTTTGTCTTTAATAATGGACTCCTTTGGATTTCATTATTAAACCAACAATCTGACCAACATCTGGAAAACAGGCACAATTAATTTTCCAGAACCTCAATTAAATATTACAGCATCCCTTATCCGTCCAGAGTTATTGTGTGTGATCTTGAGCCCTGGAGTACTGTTTCTCTTTGGAAATAGATAGAAAGCTACAGATACCATAATCAAAAGTAAATAAATGATAAAATAAAATTTAAAATGGAATAGTACTTTAATGTCTGTTTCCTGTCCTTTCACTGAAAACAGGTCCTATTACATTTGGCAGTGTTAATGTCTGCCACTATACATTTTTAAGATACTAGGCTTGTGTAAAATGAAACATCGGGTTAAGAAAATTACTCCAGACACTTGAACAGCAAGATATTAGATAATACAAAATTAAGTTGATTTTGAACATGCACTATTTCAAGTGAATTGCTAATCCATTGTCATAAGCTACACCGGCCTGCTGTTTACCTAATTCTTTTTATCAAGTTGTGCATTGTCTTGTAAAATATCAAAAAAATACCTTTAAAAATCAAAGAGCAAACAACAACCCCCTTAAACTTAAAATATGAATTCACCTCGAGGTCCCCCTAAAGTGCTTCCTATTGTTTGAGGTCAGCAGATAACCAGCTTGGGGCCCACACAGTCCACCCCACCCCCCCAACCCAGCCCCCAAAGTTTGCAACCTAGTAAAGAAGTTGGAGATTTGCCAGCCAGGAAACTTTGCTTTGCACCCCCTAAACAAGGGCTGGGGATGGGAGGAGATTGCTCGGAAAAGATCCTTTTCTGGACGGTAACCCCCAGGTGCAAGAGCTGACAGGGTTGAGGGGGCTAAGTTGAGTGCAGGAAACAAGCCCTATTGTCTCTCTGGAAGATCTGCCCAAATTTCAACCTCCGTCCTTCAGACACCGCTCTCTGCTTCCACTCCCGCCCCTTCCTCAGCCTGCCCTCACCCCGAGTTTCAGTGGGAGCACAGGGAAAGCGCCCCCACGGCCCCTTG